TTGGGTTAAAATATTTATTATCCTATTCTGAAAGTAACTTATGGCATCTCTATACGTAAACCAACCGAACAGGTAAGACCACTGGCCTGTGGAGATACTCAGGTGCTTTTCAGCAGCCAGGCTACCTGTACGTACATGGTATGGCAGCTTAAATGCCTTCAGTTTTCAGACCTGGGCTAGTAACCACACTGGCAATGATTCCAGAAATGTACACACCACCTTGCTCCAAAGCAAAGGGAATTAGTCAGCAAAAGGGGTATTTTTATAGTATGTCTTCTCCCATTGTTCTTTGGCTGCAACATCCATTGATATTTTTGGTGGCACACCAAAATTGTGAAACTAGATACTCTGAGTCAGCCCTAGAAGTGTAGATGAGATCAAACCCCAGCATTCTGCAAGGAACAGAGGACTGACCAGCAAGCCAGAATAGGTAAATACTCTTCACACATCTTCCCAAAGAGTTTTTTTCTGAGCAAGAATGCCACAGAGATATTTCAGACTATGATAGCAGCCCACTGATACTGCTTAGTTCATCAGGTGGAAGTGTGTATGTCAAGGGATGCAAGTGGTCAAAAAATTCTGAAAGCTGGACTTTGTAATTCACTGCTCCATTCATTCTGGCCTTAGCAGTAAAAAAGCTCCGAGTCCTCATTCCACAGCATCACACTACTACTAAGGGACATTTTAGGGTTGCCTCTTCTGTTCCCTCAGGAGTGCTACTAAAAATGTGGCTGTGACCCACTGCAGAAGCCGCCACCATTACTTTAAAATTCCCTACCCACCTTTGGGAAGCTGTGACAACACACAAGCCAGCTTCTCTAGAGACTCAGTGGACTCCCTGAATTCAAGCTGAAGATATGGGGGTGGAAAGCAGTTGATCTCCCTTTGGCCCAAACAGCTGAACTCTTATCAAGATGAGAGACATTCAGTTACACCTAAATCTAGCAATGGCCTTTTGTTTTTTTTTGCTGCAGGAAGGTTACTATTCAGTGGTGCTGCCTCTTACATACAATCCTTGAAGCAGTCTTCATGATGGAAACCGGATAATTAACTTTGGATGAAAGCTAAGTCACATTCTTCAAGTACCTTTCAAAAGCAAAGCTAGTGTGTTTGTGTACTTTTTTAAACAAAATTTTGTTATCTGTAGTCCCCAACTCGTGGCTTATAGATAAGTTTCTTCCTGCAGGACCCTCTGAAATTGCTCGTGGCAACAGGGAATTAAGATGTTTAAAATGAAGCCAACTGGGAAACATGAAGTATCTCGCAGCATTTTGCTTGCTTCAGATAGTAGCCCACTGCACAGCAGGATTTAGGGACCACTGGTACACAGACATAATTTCAGTTATATTTGTGTGATCACGTCATCTGTTTTACTCTTTGGAAGATTTAGTCACTGTTTGAACACTGTGCGTACTCAGGTTCATGTAAGATGTGTCATGAAACTCTTGAGAAAATCTGAAAAAAAGGAGTCATCTGTACCATTGAGATTGAGATTAGAAGAAAAACTCAATCTACAGTTTAAAGGAAGACTGCCCACTAAAAATGCATGCTTTCTTTCTTAAAACTTTGTGCTTGGTACAGTCATGAAAAGACACTGAAGTATTTCACGCAATTTTCTTTGCATTTAATAGTGCTTTGTATTCAGTTAGTTCAAATAAATATTTGTACCACCAGTTTCTGAGTTGTTTAGGAGTTATATTTAAGGGTTCTTCTCAAGTTAAAGCAAACTGAAAAGCTTTTTCTTCCCTTACACTTTTTTCTTGTTTGGAATTTGCTCCTAAAATGCTGTAGAGAGTCAAAGTTTGTAAAGTTAGTTACTTCTAAATATTTACACTGACAATATTCTTTTACCTGTAGCAACTGCCACAGGGTACACGGCTCATACATATACTCCCTTATATTCTCTCTAGCTTTTCACCACACTTATCACAAAGATGGGAAAAAAAGTGCAAGACAGATAGAAAATTAATAATGAATTTGATTTTTAAGAAGCCCTCTAGATACGTTCTGTGAAACATGGCAGATAGCTGGGGGTGAGGAGAAGGTGGTAGACCACAGACAGGATATAACTTTATTTTGAATAGAGCTTGTCTTGCGTACAAACTAAATCCCCCCCCCAAAGTAGTACAGAGATAAAACACTGCCAGAAAAAGAAAGTGATCGAGGCAAATGCAACTGTGGTATTTTCAAATTTGTGAAAATGAGCCTGGTTCTCAATCTTTGAGCGCATAACCTCCACGCATCTAGACACGGGGGTATAAGGACTCCTCTTTGGCATCAGCCCCACAAAACACCTCCATCTTAAGTCCTGTCGTGAATTCAACCCATCTGGCACTCTCCAGCAAGCAACCAGTTTTTTTGTTCCTGCTTAGCAGGTCCCCTCCGTAAGTGGCCTCACCCTGCCTGCATCCACCCTTTCTTCCCGGGGACGCCTCATTCCACCGGCAGACCCTTGATTTTTGCTGCCCCGCGACAGAACTTTGTCCATTTCTGGAGCACCACTTTCTCTTGCAGTGGACGTCTTGTTCCCCCCTGAAGCACACACCACTGAGGCTTCTCTCAGGAGTCCTGGTACCTTCATTATCCAAAAAAGCCGCCCTCTTCTTTCTAGCAGCACCCTTCCCTCTCCCCCCGCCGTGCCCCCTTCCCCGCCCGCTCCGGAGCCGGCTGCGCCCAGCCCGGCCCGGTGGCCCCAAGTTCTTCCCCGGATGCCCCATCTTTAGCATCGGTAGTTCCCTCCCCTCCCCCACTTCCCCTCCCCCGCCTTCCCAAGTCTCTGGGACTAATAATCTGGCTTTGCTGACATGCTCTGGTAGCTGTGCCTATCGGGCAACTCCCAGGATGCACTCTTCGCTCCTCCCTGGCACCCCCTCAGCCTTGCCCACCCTCCGCTGGTACTTCCCCAGCCTTTTTTTTTTTTTTTTTTTTTTTTAATTTTTTTTTTTTTTTTATTTCCAGCCCCCCTTTCCCCCCCCCCCCCTCCCCGTTTTGTGAGCGCCCCTCCCAGCCCCGCTCCTTCCTCAGGCCAATTCCCCAGCGTCCCTCCGGGCCTTCCCCTCCCCCGCCGTGCCCGGGCCCCGCCGCCCGTGGGGCGCCCACACCCGTAACCCCCCGTGGGGCGGGTGTTTTTTTTTTTTGGGGGGGGGGGGGGGGGGGGCCGTGTCTCACAGCCACCCCACACACACACACACCGGTCCGCCACCCCCCCCCACGCACACCCACGCAGCGACCCCCCCCGGCCCCTCGCCCGCCCCGGCTTCTCCCCTCCCCCCGACCTCCTTCCTCGCCTCCTCACTCGCCCCTTCCCCTCGCCCCCTCGGGGGGGGGGGTGTGGGGGTGTGGGTGGGTGGGTGTCCCCCCCCCCCTTCTCCCCGCGCCCCCCCTCCCCGGGGTCCCCAGGGGCTGCGGGGGGTAGGGATGTCACTCACTCTCCTCAGCCCCCTCAGAGCCGCCTCCTCCTCCTCAGCGGGGCCCGGGCCGGACTGGGGCCGTGGGGGGAGGGGAGGCGGCTCCCTCAGGTGGCCACTGACAGGAGGAGGGAGGGAGGGAGGAGGGGGCTGCGCGCGCAGGGAGACCCGCCTCGCGCCGGGTGCCCTCCTCCCTCCCTCCCCTCTCCTCCTCCTCCTCCTCCTCCCCCCTCCCCTCCCCGTGCCAGCCCCGCGCGCTGCCGCCGCCGCCGCCGCCGCCGGCGCGGGGCTCCCGGGGGGTGGCGCGCGCGCCACCAACCGTCACCTCCTCGGGACGCCCTTTTCCCGCCCACCCCGGTTGCTAGGCAGATTTTGGCAAACTTGCGCCCCCGCGCGCGACTCGCCCCGCCTCCTGCCCGGGCCTTTGGGGGTGTGGGGGGTTTTGGGGTTTTTGGTGTCTTTTTTTTTTTTTTTTTTTTTTTTTTCTGGTGTCTTTTTTTTTTTTTTTTTTTTAAATGAGCTACGGACGGCAGCAACGCCCAATGAAACGCGGGGGTTGCCCACCGCTCTAACCAATCGCAGCCCAGAGCCCGCCCTTCGGCCCGCCCGCGTACTAAGCGGTGAGGAAAAGAGGCGGGGCGGCCCCTCTGATTGACGAGAAGCCTGGCCAGTAAGTTCCACGCGGCGTGCGGTGCGGGGGGGAACGGAAGCCAATGAGCGGCGCGGCGCACGGGGAGGGGGCGTGGCCTGAGGCCGGGCTGTGAGGCGAGGGGCTCGGCCCCCCCCCCCCCCCCACCCTCACGCACCGCGGCGGGGCCGGGTCCCCCCCTCCCGGCACCGGGAACCCCCCCGGCACCGGGAACCCCCCCGGCACCGGCATCGCGCCGAGGCCGACTGAGGTGATGCGCTGCCCGCGGGGAGGGGCCGGGGCCGCCGGCGGCCCTTATCCGCCCGCGCAGGCCGGCCTGCGGCCTCAGATAGGGGCCGGCGGCCGGGTCGCTGCTCCGTGAGGCGGGGCGGGGGGTGCTGGCGGGTCGCGCCTCACGGGGGGCGCCTCACGGGGGGCTCCGCCGCCGGGGAAGAGCCCTCGCGGTCTGCGAGCTGTCCCCGCGGGGCGGCGGGTGGGGGGAGCGGGGCGGGAGGCGCGGCAAGCCCCGGCAAGGCCGCCGCGGGGTTGCGGTGAGTCAGCCCCGCTCCCCCCGCCGAGCTGGGTCAGGGGTGCGCAGACGTTTTCGTGCCATCGGGCCGCGCCTCTGCCGGGGCTCCGATACGATCTTCCCCGCGGGAGCTGGAGAAAGGGATGTTAACCCCCTCGGCTGCGGGCGCTGGGGAGCCTTTGCCGCCTTCGGGGGTCTTGCGTGGGGCTTGGCGTCGCCGCGGGTGGGATTATTGAAACCCACCTGGTCCAGCCAACGCGGAGAAACGGGAACAAAGGAATTAATTTATTAACTTTCCCCATGAGACTCCCTGAACAACTGTATTCATACAAAAAAATGTCTTCTGAGCTGCCAGCTTGCAACCTGCCTTCGCTGGCTCTGACATAAGTCTCGGGACTTCTTATTCAGCAGTTTTAGACACCTGCAGGTGAGCTTGCTCTTAGAAGGAAAAAAAAAATAAAATCTTGGGTGAAGCAAGTTTATAATAGAGGATAAATAATGTGACGGGAACTGCCCTTTATTTATAATGCCTGCACCCATCTTTTCATCAATTATTTTTCCACATACAGGTTATTGTAGGATTAGATGCAGCCTCATACTGGGTTATTTAGGTGCTTGTTTCAAAAGAGTATAAAGCAAGATAATGCTTATTATTTTCATTTGTAATTGTTAATAAGTCAGCATGCTTCCCATTTTACTAGGTAGGGAAGTGGAAGTGAAATGCACAGTCAAGGCTTTTGCAAGAAAAGAGCAGCAGAAACAGAGCTGGAATCCAGGCCTGGTCCCTCCTGCTCCAGCACTCCTGCTCCCGGAGCGTGTTCAGCCTATGGTCAGGAAAGTTCCACCACGCTCAGCTTTGCATAGTCATTTGCCACTCTAAATTGAAGAAGATTCACCATTTCTCTTAACAACTTTACATAAGACTGAACACAAGTTTTCTTGTTATAAAGTACCTTCTTCCACCCTTTGTACAAGAGAATTTTAGCTATGAATAACTAAGGGTTAATAGCACAACTCCAAACCAGTTGTTCCTCTGATTAATGACTTCTCCTAAAGCACTAAAAGCCCCCGGCTTCACCTCAGGCCATTTAAACCCCTATGGTTAACTACCAAGGGCTGGATCCTTCTGAAGCTGATGCTTTAATCCACACACTGGTGCCTCTCCATTTGCTGTGTCATCGGGAGAGTTTCAGAACAGGTCTAGCTCAAGATGCATTTTATTACCTAGAAGCTAGGTAGTGTTATTTCCAGAAACCTCTTCAGTAACTTTTTTCCTTGTCCTGGTTGGTCAGAATTTTACCGAGGTGACAGCAAACTTTGCTGTCTGCAGAGGCAGTATCCAGTAGTCTGAGCAAACACTAGCAGATCTGTTTTCTCCTTTATGTTTTAAGCATGCGATAAGCTGAATAAAAGCAAAAATACTTGATGAAAGAAAACTTAGTCGCTTGTTGTGCAGCAGGCTGGCATTTTAATTCTGCTTTGCCAGCTCAGAGCGAGCTTCTACACAGTCAAATAGCAGATGTGGGTCTAGATCTATTAGGAAAGTACCAAACTTTTGTACCTTTTGCTAATATATTTTAGATGTGTTTCACGTGGAGTTTTGCCACTAGGTATGTGCTCTGCGAGGACCTGCTTCAGAGGAGATTCCAGAGTGGGCCCCGACAGCAGGTGAACACGGCAGAACGGAGCGAAGGTGACAGCAGCTCAGGTTATGCCAGATGCAGGGTTTTTTCTGAGGATGGAACTGCACATAACCAGGGGAGGGAGACTGGAGTGTCAGCATAGCTGAGGCTTATTTTTGACAGAAACGACAGCTGCTGTTTGGGTTAAAATTTTCATATAGCGAGGAACTTGTTGGAACAGCACCTACTCGGCTTCTATGATGAAATTCAAGGGACCAGCTTAGCAGCTCAGGTGACATTTTGGAAAGGGACTGTCTGCAGTGAAGTCTTAAAATTTTTCATTTCTTTGAAATTTCAGACAAATTCATCAGTTTTCTTCTTCCTTTTAAATTTAAGCTATAAATGGAAAAACACCTGCCAAAAAATTTTGGGAGAAAAGACACAAAAAGCAATCTTCCATTAAACCAGAGCCCATTTGTGAAGGTCAGATACACTCAACATCCTTCTTGACTGCACAACCGCAGTGAGAAATACTTCTGTCCTAGACCAAGTAAGAAAAAGTCCAGGTGTTTGACGGATCCCCAAAAGCTGCGTTGCACCCCAGACACCTGCCAGGGTTCGGGCTGTCACCGGAGCAGGTTCCCAGCCCCCCTGGGCCATCCCCAGCGTGCAAAGGCGAGCAGGCACGCGGACGGCTTCAAGCAGGAAATTCTGGTTCTCGTTGCAGGCGGGAGCCCTCGGCCGGGCTGCGGGCAGAGCAGCGCTCTCTCCCTGCTCGCCGCCTGCCCCCAGGACCCCCAGCGCTTTTCATACACCAGCTAGCACACACCGCCCGCCCCGCAGCCAGGACGGGGCATTAAACAGCTTCTAACGCCCAGCCGGGCCCTGGGGTAAGTCACTGTTGCCACATAAAAGGCGTCATTTGTAGGCAGGATTGCCTGCAGATCAACTAAAGGAATTAGTATTCTACAAACTGCTAGAAGAAGTAAAATTAAACTTTATTTAAAAATTCTTCTAATATAGAAAACGAGAGGAAACAAAGGCAACAAAGTAATGCCCCGGTTCCGTCTCATTACATGAGTTACTGTATTTACAGCTTCAGGAAGGAGCACGGGCAGAAGGTACAGGTCCTGCTACTTATAGAGAACTACAAACACTTAACAATACATTGTACAAACCTGACATAACATTTAAAGGTTCACTGCAGGAAACAATTAAATACACTTGCTAAGACAGACAGTAGAAGAGCACAGAGGGGTGGTGTTTCATCCTGATTTCTCCAAGTGTTCTGTACAGCCTAAACTACCGCCACGATTTCCTTCTCACTCACCACTGTGGCAAGAACTGCTGCACATCACAGAAACGGGTTTGTTCAGCATGATTTGGAGAGGTCAGTAATCTCTAAAGTAACACAGGGACATTACTGAATTCCTTCTGTCGTTAATTTTACTTTCTGGAGACTTTGGGAAAAACTGAATAAAATTCAAGCAGTGACGTAACACGGAATACATTGTGCTGGACTCCACGTGTCCACGGGCAGCATTGCAGGCCCTAACGTTTTATCAAGGTCAATTCTTGCTCGTGGTGTCACCGTGAGTGCACATACTGGATGAGGGGGGATGAAGTTCATTATTTTATCTTGTTTTAAATTCCCCAACCGCCAGATTGATCTAGATTTCCTGGGTACGTGGGCCTTTCTGATGTTCATAGTGTAGGAAATGAAATACAACAGGCAAACACTTCTTCAGACTGCATTCTCTATACATACATAAGTTTTTACACTATCTACAAAACAGTGATTAGATGCTTCTGTGTAAGTTCTTGCTACTCATTTAAAAATACTAGAGAAAAAACTGTACAGTTCTCTAAATTACATCTTTAGAAGAATAATTTTTTTTAGAAGTTCATAAAAGACTTCATGTTTGTTTCTATAGAGAATTAAATGATTGGACAAGAAAGATTAGAAATAGGTTGTTCAAATCAAGTTGGACAGACCAAGCACTTAACAGAAAATTATTTGTAAACTGTAAACTTCTAGTTTTCTGTTCAACTTTACATACGCATTCAAAAATTAGGAAGAACTTCAGTTATGAGGTCCTTGTTTTAATCTCTGCTACATACAAAAGATACTGAAAAGCAAAAACTATTAAATAATTTAATATACAAGTGTAGTTAAAAAGCACTGTACATTGTAACAAATGTACATTGAATTTTAGAGATAGAAAATCACCAAGTTATTTTCAAATTTACATGATTTGTGAAATCCTGTGATGGGAAGAGGACTCTGGAAACAGAGCAGAGTTCTGGACTCCCCAGGGCTGCGGGCGAGCGCGGCTCCGCACACCGGCAGAGCCGCGGCAGAGCTGGCTTCCACCGCCGAGGAAATCCCAGGTTGTTCCTCCTGACGTTCCAAGTTCAGCTACCAGCTTTAGCAAATGGTTCCTGTTCAAACCTGAGCGCACTTAACAGCAGCAGCAAGCAGGCAGCCTTCCCTCAAGTACTTCCTTCCCTCCCGAGAGCAGACGGGCGAGGGATCGGAACTACAGAGCAGCCTGGGTCGCACACAAGTACCGACAACGAGAAGCCAGAAAATTGCCACCGCAAATCGCTCTCCCACAACAATCTGCAGCTCTGCAGGTCCTCAGGCAGCAGGGTAAGGTCAGGAGATGCAGCTACCTGGCCATCTCATGTTCTGCAAAGTGCTTTTCTTAAATTCAGCCCAAACCACAGCTCTCTAGAGTTGGGATTTTTTTCTTAATATTGCCTTATAGAAACTGTGCTTTTTTGGCCAACATTCAAAGCAGTTTATACTTGCGATGGGCACGTAATCAGTTAAATAAGAGCCTCAGATTGGATGACAAAAAAAGAGAATGCTTGGATTACCTGAATGGGACTCCAGCAGATTTTAAAGTACGTGTTTTTCAGTCATGAGTCATTCCTCAGCTGCTAAGAGCACTGTCAAGAAAACGGCCGTTGCATTTAGGTGCTTAAAAACAGGCACTGAGTTCTTGCAACTCAGTGACTTATGGAGGGAACAGCTGAAGCGCAATCTACTTCCCATACACTTAAAAAAAAAAAAAAAAAAAAACCAAAAAAGGGGAGAATCCTAAAAAATAGCCTGTGGGTTATCAATAGTCCCGAGGTAGGATTTACCTGATCATTCCTGATCAGAATCCAAGCACACGGCAGCCGTTAAGCTTAGGAAGTTGTTCTGTCTCTAACAGATGCCTGCAGCCCACCAAGCTGCCTCAGACCAGCAAGTGGAGCGAGCATGAACCCTCCCTCCTTCTCCTCCTCCTCTCACCACGCACTTGGGGCCCCCCGGGCTGCCAGCACAGGGACAGGCTCCAGCCCCCACAGCAGAGCCGCAGCAGGCCGGCCGTCGGCTCGGAGCCATCGAGGGGCCAGGAGGCCGCGAGAGCCGCGTGGCAGACACGCAGCACCACCTCAGCGAGCAAGCGATGCCCAACGGGGTCCGTCTGCGCGGATTCTCCCTGTATTTGGTGCCTCCAAATCCCCCGTACGCTAACTCACAAACTTCTTTCCTATTTTTTTGAGTTCTAAGGGAGACTTCAAACAGCACTGAATTCTATTCTTGCAAACCCAGCAATAAAACTCTCTCCCTGTACCAATATTGAGGCCGTGTTTCCCTCACAGGAGATTGAACAGTGCCTAAAACATACGTGGCTGCTGCAAGAGTAAATGTCTGCGATAAGGACCTAAATCAGCATCACATGTCCAGCAGAGGAAACGTAGAATCTTATTTTGCTAATTGGACAAGCACTTGTCCGTCCTCTTAATATCCCTCAGTGGTAAAAACTGAGGGCTTTGAATTACAAAAAGCAAGTGTCTTTGTGAGCTGTTGCTGGACAGGGGACAAGACTTTGAAAAAGAATGACCATCAGGGGTTGGACTAACGATCATTAAGGTCCCTTCCAACCCAAACCATCCTCTGATTCTATGATTAAAGACAGATTCCACTGTATTCCTTCTGCAGTAAAAGTTCTAAAGGTTTGAGGGGCTCAAGTATTTCCTCTACAACATTCTCCTCCTCCCTCAGAAAAAGAAGCAATCACAGAAAGCCCTATACAAGTAATTTTTCTAGCAGATTCCTTTTCCCTCCCCCTTTTAAGTTGGGAGATAAATATGCAGAGCTACCAAGAGAGAAAAACACCTTTATTCAGCCCCATGAACCTCGCAAGCTTTACACAGCACTATGACGGACTGGCACGGATCCTTGCTATAAAGCTGCTGCTGCTGCTTCATGGAATTAACAACTCTCACACTGTTTTCTGCAGAACAAACTCGGGCCTCATCTCTCCTGTTCTGAGGCAGCTGCTGAGGCACGGGCAAACGCAGTGAGAATTCACAGCTGAAGAGCTCAAAAAACTGAGATACAGCAAAACTAACACAGAGAAGTTTGGAAACATTCAGTTTTTGCCAAAGGCAAGACTACAGTTTAGGTTTTTTATCATAAGCCTCTGGCTTATATGGGATCTGGGTTTTAACCACCTAGTTTAACTCTGACTTGTAAAAATCATTAAGGCACAGACGCTGCCTTCCCTTGGTGAGGGGCTGCAGTAAAGATGCAAAACGCCGTTTCCCAGCTGCCTGGGGCCTAGACAGGAGGACGAGAACCTTCCTCCCTCCGTACAAATCATGACAAAGTAGCAGAGATGGAGAGAGCTGTGGTTCTACCTGACCCTGCACGGGACCGGCCATCAGAGCCTGGAGATCAAAGGAAAACCCTCACAGGGACAAGGTGGTGGCACATTGTCACACGCTCATGAACCCGGGAGGTGGAACCTGCTCCTCTGACAACGCACCTCTGCTCCGCTCGGCCTGGAGCTCACACCCCCCCGGCTGCAACCGCCCTGCCCCTCGCAACACAGATCTCACCCATCTCCCCCTTACCTTCACCGCAAGGCTACGGACAGCACCGGCAATGACTTCCAGACAACGAGAAGGAAAGCATGTTACCTCAGAAACTAAAGTCCAAACTTGAGGCACCCTACAATCAATCATGATTTAATCCAATTGTTCCCAGGAGCGGAAGGGTGCAGAAAACATTAGAACTGGCATGCATCATACTCCAGGGAAGGTCTGAGTATTTAAAATACAATTGGTATTCAAAACTGCATGAGTCCTCTTCATTTCCTGTGACAATTTTTAAAAAGTAGATACCTAACAATTTAAGGAACAAGCGTCCTTTGGACTAAACCTTAATTCTCAGTAAGAGGAAAGCAGATTAAAACCAGTAGGTATATACACACTAGCTGTATATTCACACACATTATGTAAAAGCAGCTTAAAATGCCCTTCTCACTCCGCAGGTCTATGAAATGTACGTTGTCTTTATGCAATCTGTTTCCTACAAGGCCCTCGCTAGAAGAGGAATTTGCTGCCTTTTCTTTGAAGAAAAGATTTTGCATTAATTTCTTTTTCTCCTTTTTTGGCATTTGTTTTTTGTTTTCTTTTCTTTTTAAACACACTGTCCTGATAGTTATTCTGTTTCACAGGAGACTGGCCAGGCTGGTGGTGGGTCCGTTCTGTGCCTGGAACTGTACAGGAGGTGGTCCATCTGTCCACTGAAAGATAACAAACAGCATGAAAATCCTCCAGCCGCTGCCTGGGGAGGGGAGGGATGGCAGCGAGGCCAGAGGAAGGAGCTCGCCGTTTGCTACCTTGAGATAATTAAAGATTTCATCACCAGAAGTTGCGCATCAGGTTTGACTTTGTTTTACGTGCGTGGAGCTCCCGTCATTCCAAACCTAGCTGGCTCCCGGGCTGAATCCAGGGCCGATGGCAAGCAAGCAAAAGCATTTCCTGCTCTTACAGGTAAACGTCTGACTGTCCCAACACGGGAAGCCACGACTTGCACGGATGAGGGACCTGACTTCGACGTGTTTGAGCCACGACACGCTGCACTACAGCGTTTTCAGAGCAAGTGAAGCCTCTGGTCCACACTCATTTCACTACTAAGATATTTTTCTCTCACATTAGTCAAAAATCTTCTAAAACGGGCAAACTTGTTTCTTCATCTTCCTCCCCCCTCCAGATTTTGAATCCAGCATTGATTATGCAAACGCCAGCAATGGCGGGAGCACTGGCCCACGGCCCACGCTCGGGTGGAGGCAGGCGTGCGTCTCCACACTTTCATCCTCACAGGTCTCAGGGTCCCTTTGCGAGCAAAGCCAGCACATGGCATCTTCCTATTGGCCTTTTTCCGCCCCCCCTTTCTTCTCCCCAGAAGGGAACTTTGGGAAAAAGATGTCACATTCCTCACATCTCACGTTCCCATTTGGACGTTATTTCAGTCCAGAACATTAAATAGTCTTAGGCTGTTGCTGAGATGCAGCTTAGTAAGCCATTCTCTATCTTTAAAACAGCCTTAAAAATGTTTGACAGGAAGGATGTCAATATCTGAAGCCCCCAGAAAGTGGAACCTTAAGGCAATGGCTATGCAGACATCAAATAGTGCATTAACTGGAAATTCAGATTTATACATAAGTATAAAGAAAACCAACTTAGGAATGTTAAAGTATCAGTAGAAATTGTAGTTTTAGCAGTATATGAGAAAGCATTCCCCAGAACAAGGCAGGCTGGATGACCTAAACATTAAAATTAACCCTGAGAACATAGCAAGTTTCTTTTAAAGGCCAATAGTTGTCACCAAAATGAAGTGGCTACCTGCTACACAAGCCATTTAAAAAAAAAAAAAAATTCTGGTTTACCAAGAAAACACTTCTAAGAAACAAAGACCATACCCACCAAATAACCTTTATAAAAACTAATTGAGTCACATTTCCTTTTCCTGTTATCAGTCCAATTTAAATACTGGGAAGTAGACTGAATTTTGGCACATTACTGAGAAGTGTGCTCAGCAGAAGAAAGGAATAGTAAAAGAAAGCAAAGTTTTGCCTCAAAGCTACTCATCACCGCAAGACGAAGCTCACTTACCGTGATTAGATTGTGTTCTGGAAGACTGCATGCTTCAATGTGGTCCTGGAGGAGCTGCTGTGAGAAGTTCTGATGCATCTGTGCTGCCTCGTGTGCATCCATGGCGTTTCCACAGGCTTTGTTCAGGTCTGAAACACAAGAGCATCGTGTGCTCACCTAGAAACACCGGCTGTACTTCTATTTTCAACTGACCAGCTCTCTTATCGGAAAACACCGTTCCCTTTATGTGATGACTGAATCATTTAAACAGCCAATATACCAAAGTCCCATCACTGCTTTTAGATTATCACCCCTTCTAAGAGAAGGGGGGGCATACGGGCACACGAAGCCTCCCATGTTCCAACAGCACTGGCAGTGCACATTGCAAGATTTGCTCTTAAGTTTCCAACTATTAAAAATAACATTACAGTGGCCCTAGATGGGGGAAGCAGACGTCCCACTCCAATAAGCCCCTGCAGAGTTTCTGTTTGGATTTTTAGTTTCCAGCACCATCTAGTGGGAACAGCAAAACCTCGCTAGTTCATCACTGCAGCTCCAGGATGCAGCAACACCCGTTTCGGAGGTCAAGCAACAGGTTTTTTTTTGTGTGTGTGTGTGTGTGTGTGAATCCTTGCTTCTGGGGGACTACAGAAGCCTGCTGCTTTGCATACACCAAAAGCTGATATTAGTGTCTTGTTTTCTGTGAGGTTTACTCACAGGTATTAGCTCATTCTGATTTAAGACTGGTAACCTACCAAGAATCACCATCCCAGCTATAAATTACAAGCAGCACAGTGCTCCAGGACTGGGACGCTGCACCTCCTATCGATGAACACGTGGTTGTATTTTGTTACTCCTCATCACGCACCTTTTCTTCAAGAGTAGTTAATTAGTTCTATAAAGGAAGCTCTTAGCAAAAATCAAAGCAGAACAAAAACTGCCTCTTGCTGTTCCCAGGCTGGTGGATACAAGTGGAGGGAGCAGCAGCTGAACAGGGGGTGGCGTTTCATCTATGGTGGGTTCATCATTGTACTATCGGCATGTTTTGTACGCGAACTACTACTTGGAAATGAATAAGGGAAGTATTTCAATTGCCTGGAAGGGGTTTTGTAGCAAAGGCAAAAGCAAAGCAGAAAATAAGCCTGGCCCACAGTACTATAAGCGTGGTGCTCTGTGAGTAAACATGACAATTTAATATAAATTGAAGCTGCGGGGTAAGTTCTTGGAAAAAAGGATAGAGTTACTGCTTTATTTTCTAGTGAGAGCAAATCAATTGCAGCATTAATGTTGACGGTCTGCCAAGAAGCTAGTCAATATTTGAACAAAGCATCCCAGGGCCTATGTAAGTCAGATTAAACAATATTTATGTATGAAGTGTTATAATAGTCTCTTATATTTATTAAAGCCCCTACATAGAAGCAAAGCCTAAGTGAAACTTAATCAAATGTTTACTACAAATGGAACTGCAGTCAAAGGAAAGCAAAGCAGCAGCAGAGCAGATGCTGCAGGGGTGAACTGGAGCCCTTTCTGAACGGTCACCAGCTCAGGCGAATCGCGAACTGGGGTCCAGCAACAGCAGCAGCAACGCGACCGCTGCCTCGCCCCAGTCTCACGGGGCTGCTGGAGCTCAGCGGGGCAAGACCCCTTCCCACCCCAGGCGTCTGACAGCCCCCCCCTCCAAACACCCAACTGGAGTATGACAGCAGTGCCAGAGCTGCAGATCAGTAACTGGAAGAACCCTCTTGCACTTCTAGCAGTATTTTGTAAACCCTCGCCGCTTTCTTGCGGTACCAGACCTTTCCCTAACTTACCTCTCAACAGAGCTGAAGACCACAGCTGCACAGACATATCTGGTATCTTGCTTGCAAGCTGCATGGCTGGTACTACCATATTATTACTTTCCTGGTGAAGAGCAGATATCAAAACAAAACGGGTATTTTTCCCCCCCCTCATGAATACACATTACATAGAGATGTTCAATTTGTGCAAAAAAATTGTCTACTTTAATTGCTGCCGTGTTCTAGCTAACAAGTGGAAGTGCTTAGTGGGACAATAACCCAAACACATCGTATCTAAAGCTGCCTGGAATTATGCCCTGTCCTAGGAATTACAGTGTCTATGTTGTGCAAGATAATAGAAATATTTCATGCATTCTGGCATACGGTGAGAATTAAGGAGCTCGTACCCACAATTCCTTCCAAAACAATCCAGTTGAATGATGTTATTTGTCCTTTATTCAGCTCCTTTGTTCAAGTGATTTCAGGCATTATAGAAACACACCCTTCTAGAATAGGCTTCAAACACTACTACTTTGTTAAAGTGTTATTAAACATGCAAATTACAGCTACAGAATTATGTAAGTCAATAAGGTGCCAACTTTCAGTGGGATACCAATAAACAAGCATTCTTAAAATGAGATTAATTTCACAAAATGTCCTGATTTTCTTTGGTAAATGAGAAGTCAAACATTTACACAGTAATACCAGAGACGGTGAAGGCTTACCCTGTGATTCCCTAACACATAGAATATATGACCCAGGAGTACGAGAGAACACGCTGTTAATCGATTCAAGTCTTCTGCATTTGACATTTTCAGCGTCTCTCGCAAAAATCGTCTACCAAAAGAGAGCAAAAATGAAGCGTTTTAAAAACTCCAGTACATAAGCAACATCATTAAGAACTGAATCAGTCCAACTGGCAAATATCAGCCTTTAGGAACAAATGTGTGCTGCAGGTGACCTTAAACACTTAAGCTTCACTCCCAAACCTCACCTGTCATTTAGCAAAGAATGACTATGACACAGGTCCTCCTTTGAAAAGCTTTTCTTTCAGATGTGCTGCTGCAGAACGCTGCACAAGTATTATTAGCATTCAGAACTAAAGCTTCCTGGTATTTCCCCCTAAGTAAAACAGAAGGCTGACTAAATCCACGGGGAGAAGAGCTAGCAGGTTTGAAAAGCAAGGCCTCAGGGTTTTCATTTTTATCTTAAAAAGCTTGATTCAGTTTCTCTTTTTTCCCCCAACCTTCCAAGCGCGCCGATTTATACTCACTTTGCCTCGTTGTATCTTCCTTGAAAGAAGGAGAACAGACCTCGGATGTAGAAAGCTGCTGCTCGAAGACAGTGAGAGCTACGGACAAAGCAACACATTGAAATCTAGGCATTGCGCAGTGATTACATGCATTAGACAGATTTCTAGGAATTTGCCTAATAATCAAATCTCCAAACAAAACATTGTATCTAATGCGTGGTCAGAACTTCTGCCTTGAAAAGAAGTTGATTATTTTGTTTTCTTTTAAAAAAACCCGCTACAAATCCAGTATTACCATCACCAGTGCAACATCAGCATGTAGATAGTTTCTGGAATTCTCACCTCACAGGAAAATTATGGTCTGGATTTATCCTTTCCAATAAGCTGTAAAGCTACAAAGTGGGAGGGGAAAAGAAAGATAATCAGTGTTTCTCACACATACAGGCTTTCAGTACCGACAGTAAGTGTTGTTACAGGAAGCACACACCAAATCACAATGGTGCAAGTCACCAAACACTCTCAGGTTTACTTGTACTGGTTAGGTCAGAGCACAAACGTTCCAATATTAGGATCAAAATGGGCATGAAAACTCCTAAAATCAAGTTTTATACAAAATATGCTCCCTTAGACTTTATAAAATTTTCTATATAATGTTAGTGTTTCCTCAGAAAACGTTTAACTGTTGTACCTAATGGAGTTGTTCAAGACCCAAATGAATGCTGTAACAGTTTTCCTATTTAATGAAGACTAGAACTCAACTACACACAAAAAAAATGGCCTATTTCTTAATTATTATTTTTACACTCTCAGTTTTTTAACAAAGTCCTGTGTGCTTGGTGAAAAAGTTCACAAGAAACCTGCAAGCACATCTCCCAGTGCTGCAGAGAATTCTGAGTTCGATCCAGAACACTCTGCTTCGGTGGCCTGCAGCTAGGCCAGCTGATGCCACTGCTCCTTTAACATTAATTGACACTAGCCCTGATGAAGGAGCTGCCTGGCTGCCAGACAAGACACAGCTTTGCAAAAATGCTCAGAAAAAAAGAATAATCCAAGCCCAGTAGCAGTTTTCCCTCCAAGAAAGTTCTGACTTTTAGAACTAACAGTCAGAAGCCAGCTTACCTCTTGATGCCGGTTGCCTTCCCTGATGTACACACTGGCTAGGTTTGTCACAATAAATGCCCACAGCTCTTGATGTGTAGTGAGCTAAAATAAACAAGACACCAACAGCAAAGTCAAATACTTCAGCACCTAACACAGAATTTGCTCACCCCATAGAAATCACCGATTTGGTGTCTGACATTTTGCTACTAATAAATCCTCCTGACCTGAACTGTGATCAGCATAATAAAAAAAAAATACAAAACCCAAATGAACTAGTGCAACTAATATAGACAATCTCCAGATTTCCCTTCCAACTTCAACTGTTGAGTGACCCACACAACAACTGCAACAGGCCCATTTCCACACTGAACATCCATAGTAAATAGTTTGGGAAGAAAATCTTACCCTCAGTGCTGTAGTAAATTGTGCTTCTGCATTGTCCATGCAATTAACAGAAATGCAGTAGAGCCCCTGTAGAAAACATGACATTTCTAAGGTAATGTATAATGTAATTATAGCAAGCTGAGAATGTAAAGAAGAAAGGCAGGCACAAAACCACAGAAATATCAGGATATTAGCAGGAAAAAAGATAACCAGCACTACTTAGTTTTGCTTGACTCTGGGAAAATAAACACTTTCTACACAAAGTCCTTCAAAATAATATGCTCCTGTAAAAAATGCCCCATGTATCTAAAAAACCCTGTTACAGCAATACTACATAAATTCCCTTTACACAATTCCCACAACACAGTACCTCAGACGTGCACAGTATAAATCTTAGGTATTTATAACTATCATGCTACATGTCACTTATTTTAAATAGGGATTTAAGCCTTTGACAGGCTCAAGTAACACTGGGTGTGAGTGCCGACAGCAGGACTGGCAATCGATAACATAGCCCCCACTGCTCAGCAGATCTTGCTGTTTGCCTCTCTGTTCTCATTAGTTACTGGTGAGCAGTAGGAGTCTTGGATGCAGTCTTCCAAAGTGTCAAAAGTTTACTGCTAATCACGGACACTTACTAATAGAGTGTGCAGCTGGGCAGCGTGATTAGAAAACAGTCTGGGAGACTGTTGGCAGAGCTGACAGACTTGTGAAATCTGTTAAGAAAAAAATACAGTATTTTAAGATAGTTTTTTACTTTTTCTCCATTTCATCTTATGCTCTAAAATCCACCTACTTGCATCATACATGTCACTCTGTTTCAGCGATTGGTTCAAGAATCCTAAGTCATGCTCCCAGGTGAAAGCGGAGGCTAGACTCGCCTCCAGCCAAGGTACACACACCACTCAATACACACTCCTCCCACACAGACACACACTCCAACTGCTTTTGAATTATTTGCTTTGCAGCAGCTCCACCATATGGTGGCACCACCTGCAAACCTAAGTCACAGAGCTCTTCTGACACACTCAGAATCTGAGTTGGCATGCAACAGAAAAACTGGAATTAAAATCTTCCACAGGGTATGTGCTTGTGATGAGTTTTATAAGCCAGAACCGATGACTATTCTTCTAGCAAGCTAAATTTCCCCCCAGCCCCCGAGCATATTCAGGAGAAGGCTGACAGCAGAGGTTGAGATGATACAGCAGCATGTCCTATAAATAAGGGATGGATGAACAGGATTTAAAAATGACTGTGAGAATGGGAAAAAAGTACAGTTCGTTCTTGCATTAAATAACACTGTCCCGCTCTTCCTCCCCCCCAAACTATATAAGAGGAGGAAAGGACAGAAAGGCAAGGAACCTTCAAAACTGAGAAGTACTTGTACAAGACAGGAATGCTAAGAGGAAGAGTTAAGAGCCACTCTGTCATGAATCTGAGGGAAGGGGAAAAGACATCAGGGTTGGACTGCAAGGTACAATCAGGAAGGTGTCACTTGTAGCCACTGATCAATTACTGTTGACTCTACAAGCTCCAAAGTCATCTTAATATTTAAGAGGAAGCTCATTCCGCGGCTTCAGAGTTGCAGTATCTTGAGCACCATTAGGCCTGACTTTATCTGTTAGCAGTTTAGCACTGCTGGAATCCCCATCTGAGCCCAAGCACCTTTCTCAAAACTGAAACTCCCATGTTTTAAAAGCAATCACTGCATGCATCCACAACTAGGGAAATGATGAAAGCCCATTTTTACCTCCTGCAGTGCTGTGGCTTTGTGTCCCGTGACAAGCCGACACATGATAATGTGTTCCAACAAAATAACTTGGAATGATGACAAGATAGGACTGCAGTCCAACACTGAAAAGGGAACAAAAGTAATTCAGTAAGTGAAGTTAAGACAATATTAACACGCTAACCATGCAGCCTCCCCACACCCAGTCAGCTTCAACTGCAGGTGGTTCAGCAAGACTTCAATACAAAGACCCTGTGGAAATCTTGTGTGATGTATTTGGCTGGACCACCTGGTGTCAGAAGAGTCAGCAAACTGCCCAGCTCCTCTTCCATATGCCACAGGAAGGATGGCACAGGTTTAAAAAGCAAACAAAAAACACCAACAACAAACCAAAAAACAAGAAAACCTCAAAAAAAACACCAAACCCACAATGCCTGAACTGTCAGGAGCGGGAACCTGAGCACCAGTTAATGAAAAACTCCTTGGGAACACACGCTCATTTTAGAGAACCAAAGGCCTGGACAATCAAATACACAATCAGAAAGGCTGCATGACAATGCATGTACTTACAGCCCCATTTACTGAGTTACAACAAAAAACCCAAAAACTTGATTTCTGTATTCAAAGTAACTATTCAGTTTTAAAACAGAGCGAAGTTCTTAGATGCAGCAAAACCAGATCGAGAGCAGGCTGTCGCAGTGAGCTAAATAAGGTTGCTGTGGTTTGGTTTTGTTTTAATTTAAATTAGCAACAAGTAATGGAATCTTGCAGCATCATCTCAAATAATAATCCGTATCCTTACTTTTTAGCTTCTCTAGCTGCATGAGTGCTTTGTCTGTGTACTTCTGAGCCTTCTCCAAGTATCCTGCTTGCATGGAATGCATCACTGTCACCTGCCAAAAAACACAGGAAAGATTTCAAAAAATTATCTTTTCAAAGAGGAAAGGTCTGGAAGTTCACACAACTTCTCAGCTACCAGGTTTTAAAACTAACTTTTGACATCGATCAGGAAGATAATCATATTCAAAAAGTGTGGAACTAGTTTCAGGAATTTGAAGTCATAATTGTTGCTCTGTTGGTAAAAATAAGCCACCACTGCTCTACTTCGTACAAGTTAATGTGATGCTATTTGGCTTGGATATTAATAAAGTTACATTCCAGTTTCCAGACTTCTTGCACAGCCTCTTCAAATACTGACATCACTGAAAGCAATAGTCTCACAGATGCTGTGGCAGAATTAAACTGTCAGTGTAACATAAAGCAGCATATGGTCTGCAGAATCTATCGCTGCTGGCTCCAAGCAATTTTTAACCAATTCCTCATTAATTAGCAATATACATTAAGCCAAAAAGAGCTTCTCACCAAGTAGACAAGCACACACATGTGTTCCTTGGGCAGCCAGTGAAAGAGATCAGCGGGGTTGCTGGGCAGAATTTCATCATCGTGCAGCGTGGATATGGTCTGGATGCACTGCTGAAGCTGTTTCAGGCATGGTTTCACACTTTTCACCTGCACAAGACGATTCACATCAGACAGAGCTGCTGCAGTCCAGATGCCTGAACATTTACTTAGTTGGGAAAACTCTCCAGGCAATAAATAATCCCCACATTCAGGAAATTAGTCTGTGCATAAATCACAATGCTAGCACGACAGAACAGTGACTACTTTAGGCCTGTTTCAGGATTAACAACAATCAGCCCTTCGTATTTGCATATATGACCAATGGACGCTCAAAACGTTTTTTCAAAATCATACAGAAAGACTGTTATCTCCACCAACATTACACAAAAGCAGGAGTGGCCTCCATGGTTATAAGCATATCACAGTAAACATTTCCTCAGGGAAGAAGAAATTAATGTAATTTCTTCACTCCTCGTTTCATTTGTGTTTAAAATCTACAGAAATTAAGTTTCATTGACAAAAAGCAGAGTGCAGCAAAAAAAAAATCCCCCCAAATCACCCCAGTGTAATAATTAGTTACTTCTGAGGCAGAACTCTTTTTCCCCAGTTCTCATAAGGGAACTACAAGAAGCACAACTCGCACGTACCTGCCCGGCATCCAGGTAATGCGTGACCTGCAGGACTAAGAAGAATACGCGTAACGACTCTTTCTGGATGGGGTTTCCTTGCCAGTTTTCAACTATCTGCCCACAAAGAGTAAGGAGAGGGTGCACCTCCTGCAGCTTTCGTTCCATTAGAAGGAGCTGTAATTTAAAGAAAAATTCCTTATTTTTGTGCTAAGCGATTTAAAGACACAGAGGACCACAGCAGAGCCCCAGGTACATTGATCTATTTAAAACAAAAACAGACTTAAAGGCAACTTATTGCAAGAGCACCAGCCTCTTCACATGATCAGACTTTACATCCCTAATTACATGGGCTCCAGTAACAATTTGCAGTTATCCTTTTTCCTTCCCAAAGTCTCCTAATTAATAAAGGGGGGGAAAAAAAAAAAAAAGCCAAAACTATTCACAAGTATCCTGCAGACTTATCCCAGATATACTTTCATACTGTTCTTGCTCACATGAACAAAACAGAATATATAAAGCACAGGTTAGCATGCAAGACACCTTAAAACAAACAGCCTATGTTCAGGCAGGTTACATTCTACTGCTCTGTAACTTGCATTAGACTAGTTAAACAAGTAAATAGTTTATTTTAAAAGTACATCCAACTTACCATCCCCTTGCTTAGCAGAAACAGTGCTCTGAAATGAAACAAAATGATGTCATACTCAAAAAAAGTTACTTAAGCCACAACTGTATATAAAAACCCCGAGGAAAAAAAAAATCTGCCATTCTCCCCCTCAACAATAGACAAAAGAGAACTAAGGAACCTGCCACTGAAAATGCATTTAAAAGCTAGATGGACCAGTTCAATCATTGCCCCAGGAATCAAAATCCCAGCCTCTCAGGTTTGTATCCAAGCTTTGGACAGTTCCAGTTACAATAGTTTCTAAGGTCAAAGCAGGCTACTGGGAAAACTTTTGCTGATAAAGACAATAAACAAAGTTCAGTTTGAAAAAAGACTCTCCAGAGTCTTAGTGGACAGCATTGATTTTAAAAGAAAAAGAGCTGGAGAAACTCTCAGATCTACGAGAACACTCAAAAACACTGGTTTGCCTTTAAAACTCACATAGCAATCAGATCTCTAAATAAAACCAGAATATCTCTAAATAAAAGTTAGAGGAAACAAAAATATTTTCTGTGGGAATGGAAGAAAGTCCAGGGAACTCACCTCGTATATTCTGATCCTACCACCCGAGCATATTCTGCTCCAACTCCGAGAAGGTCACATGCAGATACTAAGTCTTTTTCAAGTGTATGTAGTTGCTGAAAGGAAAAAAAGGCCTTCGAAGATCACCGTTTTCTTTGTCAATCTAATTAGTAATTTTTTAAAGTGGAACTACTCCTGTGCTTTACATGTGACAAGTTCTAAACTGGTACTTGTTAAACGTATCATCTGATTTTAGATGCATTTTCCAGGAACACCTGGCATTCTCAAAAAAAAAAAAGCCTGTAACATTTCAAAGAAAATGTCTCAGCCCAGTTTCATACCACGCAAAGCTGTTATAATTCATTAAGATCATGTGCAGATCAGATCCCAACAGCTCCAATATAACCATGGACTGTTACACTGAAGTAACCAGCACAGAGTGTGTTTTCCAGCAGAAAGAGCAGAGAAAGTCTGCAAGGTACAGTGCAGGTGATGGGGAGAGGATGAGGCATCTCAGAGCAACTCTCCCTCCCTGCTGCCTTTTGTACCTTCTCCAGAGTTGGGTGGAAAGCCACACAGTTGTAGAAGAGCAGGCACCAAGGCAATGAAGCACACGAGCCTCTGCGGTCAAGCAAAAGCCAGAAAGGAAATACCGCACAGAAGAGAAATCAGCAAAGAATGTCAGGCTTTGAGGAAAGATCCCACTCAGAGGAAGGCACTGAGAAAAACACTTAAGCTTCTTCTGAGTACTCAGGCATTAACTCATTGCAAAGTAAACATTTGTCTTTTAATCGATAGGAAAGTAAGGCTCTCCACAATTCACTGTTCCTAAACTACACAAAGGAGCCTGGCAGTGCCTTCTCAACAAAGTTGGTCTGATTGTTTAAGCTCATTGGGAAGGGAGGAAAGACAAGTACAGGTGACTATTAAGACAGGCTTCAAAGATAAAATTGCTCCCTAACTAGCTCTCTGCTGCAGAGCACCTGTGAAGAGCAATTAACTCCCTCAATTCTCACATTAAATACCTCAAGCCTCTTTAGCAGCAGAGATGCATAACCTGATAAAATAAGGGGGATTCTTCAGCAGTAACCTGCTTGTTCCACTGATCAGTTAGCTTCCTGGATACAATCCTGACCTAACGCACTGGATGACTCAGGAAAATCAACACTTTACGACTAGCTCCACAGCTGAAGACTGTAACAAATGTTAAACACTGCAAATTCCAACATGCGTCCGTTTATTCCTATAAGCAAAGACGGTCTGACCTGTGCAGCTCAAGCCACACTTGAAGCATATTACAGACTAGGAAGAGTAATGCTGCTTGGAGGCCTCTGGACCAGCTGCCTTCCCCATCCCAGTTCTGCTCTGTGTGTTAATTCAGTTGAAAAAAATCAAGCAAACACTTCAGGTTCACAAACTCCAACTCCAACAGGCTTTGAAAGAACATTTGCCCTTGCAAGCTATAAAGTGGATTTCATTTTGCTCTGCCTCTGAAGTTGTGTGTTACTAGGGCCCACAGAATGATCCTTGATGCCTTCTTCCCTAAAAAGCAGGCCTTGAGCCAACCCATAGTCTACCAATATATCAGTACCTTATAGGATGAACTTTTCTTCTTTTGTCTCTCCATTAGCAGCAATGATTGGGGAAAAAAAAACCAAAACAAAACCGAAACGAACCAAAACCATCCAAGCTCTTTTTAAGAGTACAGATATTTTCTAGCCCTTTTCCCAGTCACAGTGCTACAGTATAACATGGTTATCAATACAAATCACTTACTGCAAGTTGAAAAAGCAATCTACAGTGCCAGTACGGAGTCTGCTGTGAAATCTGAATGGCTTTGCGTAACAGAGGTTTTGCTGTATCCACTGAATTCTGAAAGAGAAACATCCGCCACAGTCAACATAAAAAACAGGCTACCAGGAATTTCACCCGTAACAAAAAAGACTTTTAAACTAGTGGTATTATGTGTTGATTCCTCATTAAAGTCTATTAGGTCAGGGAACCTTAAAACATGAAAAGCAGCAAAACCGAGTATTTAACACCCAGGCCCGCACATCCCACACTTGACTGAAAGTCTGTTCAAAAGTATTAGCTATTTAACTGCTTTGGCCACTATTCTAATATGTGATTTTTTCCTGCATGTCAGAGAAAAAGCAAACATTTGCTTTAGAGAAAGTAAAGACTAGTTAAGACTTCTCCGAAGAATAAAAATAGCCTAGGAACACAACAAAAGCCCAAGGAAAACCATCTACTTCCCTCCCTCCCCCCAAATTAGCCTGTCTTTGTCTAAATGAGGGCTAACAAAATGCTTTGGCCAAGTAAACTTCCTTTGCTGTGCAAGACCTGCATTGCAATTCCAGCAACAACTTCCACGATAAGAAAGCCCAGAAGTCTTTCAGGCTTACGCTTTAGTACTCTATTTTTACACTGCAGTTGACCTCTAGAAGTTTCACAAATCCTATTACTAATAGCAGTATACTACTCTGAGACCAAAGAGACACAAATTAAATGCAGCCCTGCAGCCTCAAGACACCCGACAATTTCCGAAGCAGTCTCAGCGCACTCACCTCCTGACAATACAGTTCGGACAGAAGGCTGGCTGCCTCGAACTTAACATCCTCAAACTGGGGAATCTAGCAGCATCAGAGTTAAGTAAATACTAAACACTGTCTGCAAAACAGCAACAGCCCAACACCCAAAACCCCTCAGCTGGATATATGTGTTAGGAAAGCAGCCCCCAACCATGGAGGGGGATTAAAAATACCAGCTAAACCCCCATCCCCAGGCGCTCTCTCTGCGGAGGTGTTTTGTTATCAGAGCCCTCGCTGCGCCTCTCCCCGCCCGGGCAGCCAGGAAAAGGATACTTGCTGGGATATCAACCACTGCAAGAGAAGACAGCGGGTTAGTCTGCAACCACCACAGGCTGACAGGGCCCCCTCCCCGCCGCCCCCCCTCCCGGGGCTCACCGCCTTCTCCAGGTGCCCCCGGGCCTGGTCGCCGTTGCGGGTGTGGTGGTAGAGGACGGAGCCGAGCTGGAGGTGGGTGCGGGCCTCCATGCGGGCCGGGGGCTTGCGGGGCAGCACGGCCTGCAGGCAGTGCACGCAGAGCCGCACCTTGGGCGGGCTCGACGTGCGGAAGTGCTCGGCCAGGCCCAGCAAAGCCAGGTACCAGGACTCCCCTCCGGCCGCGCCGCCGCCCGACCCCGACCCCGGTGCGGGCCCAGCAGCGCCGCCGCCGCCTCCTCCTCCGCCGGCACCCCCACCGCCTCCCCCGCCCGCCTCCCCGGAACCTGCCGCCCCGCCCGCCGCCGGCTGCGGCTGCTGCTGAGGCGGCGGTTGCTGCTGAGGGGCCGCGCCAGCCGCGGAGCCCGTCGCGCCCGCCGCCACCGCCGCCATCTCAGGGCCGCCGCGACAACACGGGCGGGAGGGGAGGGGCGGGGCGGGGGCCGGGAGCGGCGCGCGGGGGCCGACGGGATATGAAGTCCACCCCGCCGCCGCCGCCGCCGGGCGGGGGCCCCGGGGTCGCCAATGGGAAATGGCGGGGCGCGCGCGGCCTCACGGGAGTTGTAGTCCGAGCGGCCGCAGCCGGGCTGTGCCGGGGAAGCTTCGGGAGGAAAGTGGCGGCGGCGCCTCCCCCTTCTCCCCCGCAGCGAGGCGGTTCGCCCCCCTGACCGGCCCTCGCTGCCGCGGGAGGCGCGGGGGAGAGGGGCGGAGGCTTCCCTCTCCCCCCTCGGACTACATCCCCCAGACGCCTTCGCGGCAGAACAACCCGGTGCCGCCCGCCCCGCCCGCCGCGGTGCATTGTGGGACGGGAGCTCCAAAATGGACAACCCCAGGGATGCGCCAGGTATGGCTGGTCTCGCTGTGCCTTTTGGTTGTCGCTTCCCCTCCTCGGTTCCGCGGCCCGGTAGCTGGCTACAGCGTGGGGGGCGACGGCGCACCGGGCTCGGAGGCCTCTCTTGGGCTGGCAGGCGGTGGGGGTGTGCGCCCGGAGCTGGGCCGTGGCATCATCCCGCCGGTCGGCGCGGTGGTTTGGGGAGACCCCGAAGGCCGCAGAGTTGATTTTCATCCCCCACTAGGAAAAACGAGGAAAAATTTTCATTTTCCCCTAGGAAAAGCGAGCCGGTGGTTTGGGGTTGCGCAGTCCAAATCGGCCAAGACGAACGTGAATATTCTTCACCAGGAGGAGTTGATAGCGCAGAAAAAGAGAGAAATTGAGGCCAGACTGGAGCAGCAAGCGAGACAGAATTACCTGAGCATACAGCAGCTACCTCTGTTTGGAGAGTACGTGTGAATTATGGTGCTTTTAGATGGGAGCTTCGCAGACAGAAAATGGGCATGCTTTTCAAATGAAACTGAAGAGGCGAGCTTGCCAAAGCTCTTGCACGTGGAGGCAAATACTGAGAAAGCTGAAATTGATAATTGAGTAAAGGTTAGAAAAGGATACTTGCACTTTAATTGATCTAGCCAGATTTTCCAGATACTAGCAAGAGCAGACTGCTGACAGTGTTCATGCTTTTAACAGGGTATTACTACACTTTCCTTTTGCTTCCTGTTTGTTAGCTTTCTTACAATTGTGAATTCTAAGAGTTAGCACAGTTCTCCAGTTAAATGCTTGACTGTGGTTCTTGGAAGTGGGGTAGAGTAATAGAGCAAGTAGAAATCCTGTTTCAAAGGAGTAGTAAGCCAGGTGGAGGGTGTGGGTAAGTGCTGTAAGCAGTAAGCGGAGTAGCTCTTGTGCTTTTGAAAAGGTAGGTGTGTTTTCAACCTTGGGTGAGACAGATTAGTAGTCACCGGCATATGTCTTGTCTTCTGTTCAGAATAAATACTTGTGAAGGGGGTGGGGGAGGATGATGAGTACCATCACCTACTTTTCTTTTTCTATTCAGAGATGACGGTACTGACAATGAAGCCTGTGTTTCCAACAAGTTTGTTAATGATGGCAGTTTCCTCCAGCAGTTTCTCAAGCTGCAGAAGGAAAAGTCAAGTACTGGTAGGTCCACTTCTGAGCAACAGGAGGCCTTCCTTCTGGTGATACCAGCTTTGTGTGAGCTGCCTCCATGTATATTCACTTTAGAAACCCTGCTATGAGCTGTTACCAGTATGAGTAAGTTTTAAAGCAATGGTGACCCCTTTAAATTTGGATTAAAGTCTTCAAGATGCGATGGGGGGTTTTCCCTCTTTCCCTCTCTAGGTGCTGTAAAGACAAGCATCTCTCTTTTAGCTCAAATCTCATTTTGTAAAAGTCAACACAGTTTTCATTTCATTATGTAGCTTTTACCAGTCGGTGTCTTTGACTTACTCTGAAAATAACGGCCTGTTGCAGCTATGTTACTGCCTGAGTTGTTATAAATAACCTTCTGAGATTAAATCAGTAAGGATGCACAGGAATTATTTTCCCCTCATTCTTTTCTAAGAACCTCCCCCAAGTTCTGCTAATAACTCGGCAAACACTTCTGCATCAAATGTTGGGAAGAAACCTATGCTGTTTGGGAAGCGCCCTGGTCAGGTCCTGAGCAGCATGTTGCACCAAGCGAAGAACTACTCCCATTCCAAACAGACCCCAGTCGTTAACCGCCTCAGTGTGTTTCAGTCGCCAGATGAAGATGAGGAGGAAGATTATGAGCAGTGGTTGGAAATTAAAGGTAAATGACACCTTGTACTACGTTGTTTGTTTTGGGGTGCAGGTCCACTTACCCTAGTGATAGGAGTTGAGCGTAGGAACAGGATTCCTTCACTACTTTTCCCCAGTGAGGAGTTGGGCTTTTTTTTCTTTCTTCATGCTGTAAATTGGTATTCTTAGCACAGTTCCTTCATGCAGACTTCTGCATTATGAAATATGAATGACAACAGTTAATGCTGGTGGACTCCTCCAAAGGTCAGCTTCAGCAGAAAAGCTGAGGACTGAATGCTGTTAGATTGAGCTCAGAATGGGAGATGGGTCACTCACCGTAGTTACATCGGGTCTGTTTTGTGCCTAGGAAGATTTATTTTCTCTGAGTTATCAAGGCAAGCATTTGACCAGTCTGTAACTCTTTGTGAAAATAATGTGCAGAAAATAAATATGTTCAACTCTTAATGGAGTTTGATTGTTTGCTAATCATAAGAATTCTGCTTTCGTACGATTGAAATGTATTATGCCTAGTTCTGAGTTCTCTAGAAAACATATGGATGTAATGCTTGTATTTAAAATAGAATTTTAAGTTTTTTAATGGTAGAAAATTAAAAGTCCTCAGTTTGGGAGTGGCTGTGTAGAGGGACAATTTGCATGTGTTAATGAATAAGATTACATGTTAGTCACAAAACTACGATCATGTAAAATCAAAGTTCCTGCCTCTTTTCAAGGTTTCATTAGAAAAATCTCACCTCTAGGTCCTCACTGCTTTCAATAACATAGATAAACCAATGAAGAGTGTAGCAGCACGTAAATAACCAAGTTTATCCTGATAGCCTAGGATAGGAGGCCAGAAGGCAGATTTTGCTTAATAATCTGAATTTCATGTGTGCGTATTAAGTATAAAATTAGATTGGAGTTGCTAAATAAGTCACACTAAGCTTTGTGTCATCATTTATTTCATTATATGTTTACAAAACCATGTCTAGCTATTTCTGATGGTATTTATGAAAGCATAAGCTTAGCAAGTCTGAACTCAAGCGTGAAATGCACTGCAGGAATGTGAGAAATACTCACTGCCGGCAGAGAGCGAAGATGGAGCGTGGATCCTTAATTTAAAGATCATGGATTCAAATCTAGTCTAGATCAACATGGCCAGCTCTGCTTCTGTGTGCTCTTTGTTCAGCGCCCTACCCAAAATATTTAGACAAATGCCTGTGTTTAGTTCCCATTGAATGTGTCTTGCATCAGCTCTGTAGTTGCTGTCAGTGTTAGTGGGTCCCTTTCTTGGCACAGAGGCCACAATACAGTTTCCTGGAGATTGAGCCCTCCTCTTATCTCTGGTGGGATTCCCTCCAAGCGAGGGTTGAGACATGGGCATATGCCAGGAGGAAGAGCTATGTGCTCCAGCTACACAATCTGTCTTCTCTAGCTGGGTACAGAGCGATGTCTTGGGAACTGGAATCTGTAATCTTCAGTGAGTAATGTGGTTGTTAAAACCAAATTCCTGTTCCTCCCCATTGTGTTTTTTATGGAGTAGAATTGTCGGAAGCAAATTGTGTTGCAATTGAAGTTACACCCGGAACTGTGGTGATCCAAATCTCGGGCCTTTCCTTGTAAGAAAAATCTAGACAAAACTATTAACTTCCTACTAGGGAGTGCAGAGGCTGACAGTAACCTAGGCATTGTAATTTGTACAGCTGTGTGAGACTGGATCCCCCATTTCATCCTTTTTCTTCCCATTCCCGTTCTACTTTTGTCTGCTGCCGTGGTTCTTAGAAGTAATGTACCTGTTGCCTGTTTGGTGTGTGAGTTGAACCCCAGTACTGACAGCCTGCTTAAAGTTTTACCCCCAGAGGATGCGGAGACCCGACAAGTGGTGGAAAAGCTGGCTAGGTTCGTGGCTGAAGGGGGACCAGAATTAGAGAAGGTTGCTATGGAAGACTACAAGGATAACCCAGCTTTTTCGTAAGTGTGGTGATAACTCTTGTCTTCCAAAGCAGAACATTGTCTCTGTAGGAGAAAACCATCAGCCTTGTGTATATAGTTCTTGTGCATGTGTTTGCTTTAATTATTCTTTGGTGGATTTGAGCTTTGTTACAAGTAATTGTTTTATAGCTGGGGAAACTGAGGCAGAAAGGGACATTGTGGTGGTGCTGAGGCAGCGGCTCAGCTAGAGTTGGGAATTACAGCCTGTGGGGGGGAGGTCTGGCTGCCTGTACAACATCTGGCGCGTGGGGATCCTGGGCTGGCTCTCGGGACTGGTTCTGTCTCCTCTGCCATTGACATCCTCTGTGCAGAGGATTCCCTCCTGTATCAGAAGAGACTGTTGTTTATTTCCCCTCAAGGGACACAAAAAAAAATTGGATGCAAGTCCCTAGATTAAAGCTATGTGTATTTATACATGCTGAAGGCTCCGTAATTCACATTTTAAGTGCATTCTGAGTAATTTATCTATTTTGTATTTGTTTGTTTTGAGCTGTTTATATCCCAGAGTATTGATGTTTGTATAGTTGTTGCTGATGTATATTTTTTGCCCTTTTTTCCTCCATCTCCACCCTAGATTTTTGCATGATAAGAACAGCAGAGAATTCCTTTACTACAGAAAGAAAGTGGCAGAGATAAGAAAAGAGAATCAAAGTTCTCAGTCATCCTCGTCTCAGAAAGG